CAACAATTGAATGAACAAATTACATTGACCTAGGGTTAGGTATGAAGGTGAGGCCAAGTTCAAAACCAACCTGGTTTATTACTCTAGGGCTTGCTGTGTGAGGTAGTTTCTGGTGCTCATTTTAAATTTGTTGATAATAGGAATCGCACTATACACCTTCCATGAACTCTTTAAAGATCAGAATAGGTCACTGACCCAAAATGACTCAGGTCAACATTTTGTTGACATCACATCATCCATCATCCTGCATAGCGTAATCTTTGCCGCCTATTCAAATACAAAACTCAAAGCAGTCTTGCATAATTTTGGTCACCATGACCTTTAAAAGGTCAAGGAAGGTCACTGAACTTAAATGAGCATGCGGCCTTTTGCTGAGAACAGTTATCTAGGTACAAGGGGCCCTTTGGGGAGCAACCTGGAATATGACCTTGTTTAACCTTATTTGATCCGAAGGTCATGACCTGGTAACCTGAAACTCGGACCTAAGTGAGTTCACGTACAGCCCAACACACCCTGTGAATTTGGTGTTTCTAGCTCTCTTAGCTCCTGAGATCTCAGGGGGGTCAAATTAACTCCCACCCGAGCGAAGGGTATCAAACCGGCCACCCGGACGCGTGCTAAAGCACCACTGAAAAACTCCGACGACGCCCCCGCCTGGAGTCGATTTAGCAAATGGTTCAATTAAAAATGGGAAATGGAAGTCGCCGGCGGCTTATTGGCTGCAGTTATTTGATATCTGCTTTGCTCATCTCATAGACTTAAATGGCATCTTCCGGGAATTCTAGCTTCTTTGTTTCAGATATCATAGCAGGAAAGCAAAGAAAATGGTCCCTCAAAATAAGACAAACCAAATTCAGTGAGCAGCTTCTGTTTGTTTCTAGGTGTGTGTGTGGAGGGGGGGGGGGGACTGGTGGATGTGTAGCCGCTCATCAGCCCCGGAGCAGCCCTGACCCTTTGTCAAGACTGGCTGTGCGTACGTAAACACAAACATATCCCCTCAAATGTTTACGTTTTGTCATCTGCCTCGCACGCTATAAATTTTGCTGGTGACCGGGCTCACCGCCGTCAGAGTGTGGGCCCACAACGTTTAAGAGCCCCTCGAAAAGTTTCTTCTCCCCTTTCCGGAAATCATATCCGCCGTCACTGGTTGCCATAGGGAGGAGCACTTAAACGCTCTCAATGCGTGCGTACGTGGCGAGGGGGAAATTTTAGATTTTACCGACGTTTGCAAGTAAGCGCTGCCTCCCACCTCCGGCTTCCGCATCCCTACCCGTGGCAGCCAGTGGCTGAGATGTTCGTTGCCCTCCCACTTTTCATGAACGTTCAAAACTATATCCATGATTATGCACGAGAAGGATAAGCCTAAAAAGTTCTTTGTTTTCCGTCTCAAGTTCGCACAATTTGGGAAATTTCTTGACATCCCTATCCGACATGTGCAAAAAACTAAATCGAGTTTTATAGGATAGAGAAGTATTGTCATCGTTTTGAGCAGTTTTTAGCACCAACTCATGGAACTTTTCGAGATACATGAATTCCGCCATACGATTTTCATTCGGCATTGAGGATCTGCACCCAGCCATCACGTGACCGCCCAGTCTCCGTTTGCTGTCGCTGGCGCTGCGTAGGCTCACCGTTCCGAATCTTACCTCGAGATCCCGTCGGCACCCTTCCCAGCCCTTCGCCCCAGCTGCCTCACTAACACCCAAAACCCCCTTCGGACTCGCAGGGGCGCCGGCTGACAGCAGAACGCCTTCGCACACAGCGCGAACTTCCACAGCGCTGTGACTGCCGTGCTGTGCGCTCCCGATGGGCACGGTCGGGCCGAGTGAGCCGGCGCTCAAGTGTCCTCCATTAGCGGCGATTATCTCGCAGCTGTTCACCGGGCGGTTGAGGGATGGGGGGGGGGGGGGCGCTAAGTTGTCACCAACCGACTGGAGGGATTGTTCGAGCGTGGTCACGAGCAGCCATTACATAGACAGGCGTCAAGAAGCTGGGAAAGCCCGCCACCACGCCGCTGAACTGAACAGCTAGTGCGAGGGGCATCGTCGGTTTTGATTATGCTCGCTGATTTCTGCTCTTCTGTTTTTTTTAAAGTTATTGGTAAGTATTATAAGTATTAAGTATTGTTATAGTACTATATATAAGTACTTCTGTTAAGATTATGGGAATAAGCTACATAGAGTTTAAACGTACTGGGGAGGTGAAATTTAGTTTATCTAAGGATCATTTCCATTTTGAAGTTTATTTCAGTGGAGATCCCTTCATGAGCGGGCGGTGAAGAAAATGATGCTTGCGATAGACCCGTCGTTATACCTTGCATTATCAATTTTGATCATTGCATATTGCAGACATCACTGACCCTTGCATTAATAATAAATATGTCATTGCATATTGCAGACATCATTACCTTGGAATTCGAAGGATTTCAACACTCACCCATTGAAAGGATGGCCATTCATTCCGGCAGCTTTGCCACGCGTAGTTTTCTCGGTTCTCAGAAAACTGAAAGACCATGGTGAGGAGTGCCTATTTTTCACTATGATCTTCCAACGTTTGGAAAAGTGTTCAAGTCCTCAGTTGCAGTACGTATTGCGGCTACCGCTCGAAGACCGCTCCGCTCTCACTGTTAGTGAATAAACGGCACTCATTCCCCGACACACGTGTGACGGCCCCGGCCGAAGGGCCACCCACCAGAGCAGCGGGGATCCAATCTCAGCCAAGAACTTCAACAACGGTTAATGTCTAATCGGGGTTCATGTTACGCATCTTCTTGAAACAAACTTTCTTCGTTGGTTCCTAAACATAACAGCCTTCTTCTCTTAAATCTCACTGAAAGTTTCTTTGATTTAAGAACATGTGTTTTTAGGTTTAAGTTTTCATAAAATTAGCTAAAGCAATAGTTTTGTTGAAATTTACACCACCTTTTACTGAGGGGCGCACGGCTGGAGCACTCATGTACTACAGATGTAGAGCCGATGATCATGGTCAGCAAAGATCGGAATGTTGCCAGCCTGACCTGAATGTTTCGGCATTCCGACATTTTAGGTACAGAGATGGGATTTCTTTGTCAGACGTCTGCGTGGCGTATTGGCAGCTCCGTAGGTTTCAGCTGGGAAAGCAGATACAGCAGCTTCTTTAAGGAAATGGCCCACATTTGAAGACATTAAAGCAAGCATTAGGTATTATGAAATAAGCTCACTTTTAAATATTGGTATACTTCTATGTGCAAAAGGCTACTGCAGGCCACACCATTGAACTATTTAGCAAATCTGCTCCTCAATGCGTCATGATTTGACTGTGTCATGGAACGTTTATGAGACAATTTTCGCTTGAAGTTCTTCGTTCTCCTGAGAAGTGGCCCGCAGTGGTGCCGGATGTGTGCTGCACCAAATAGTGCTGGTACTCGTGTTTTGGTATTTTCTCGTGGCGCTGTTGCAAGTTTATGCGTAAGTTGAAGGTGTTTACTTATATTCATATGCTCGGTATAGCACTATTCCTGAGTTATTCGACTACAAATATAATTTCCGTAATAGCCGGAAAGAATTACTGTTCTTGCATTATGTAGCACAAAGCGTAATTCTTCCCGCAGGGGGGTTCCTGCGCGGGCCAAAGCCCGGCGGTGGGCGCCTCAGGCGCATGTAATCATGTTCCCACCGTCGTCCATCTCCCTCATCAGCTTGCCCTGAAAGGATCCTTTCTGGTGGAAAGGGCACTAATACAACCAATAACCAATCGTGTTAGAATAATGTAGCGATTGCACAGCAGTGGTTGGGAGTCAACTGACTGCTGCTATATTTGGAAATCGTGCTCACGAACGTCAGATATGAACGACTCGACGAACAACATTTTGTTGGCATTGAACGCTGCATGGCCAATAGAATGACAGGATTAAATGACGTTATTGGGGTGGGTGACCTTGAAATAGTCTGCAAGAAATAGTCTGCCACACCTTTGTGGGCGTGTGGTTCAGAGACCAGGGTTTTAGGTCATAAGAAGGGAGGGCGGTGAACTGCGCCGAGTCATGTTCAAGATGTAATTTCAGTGCACAACTCCATACAAATGTGGAACACTACCTTTCAGCGAAAAAGTATTAGGAACAAAATGAGCTGCATTGCAAAGTTGAAAAAAGCTACGAATCTCTGCAGGCTCTTCCCAATAAATAAAAGCCAACGCTGTCGCGCATTTAAGCTCCCACCTTCTAACATCCGGTGCCTTGTATCACGCTAAGAGTAGTGCGAGACTCGCACGGTAGACGAAGTGTCTCGACGACCCGTACCGGGCTCGACTTTTTTATAAGATGTGAAACTCTCAATACCGAAAGCACGTGTACTTGTTACCCACCTCAGTTGATGCAGTCGAAACACCTGGAGCTTAAGGTGCAACTTGTTTGCATTAAAAAGAAAATTTAATGTGCTGTTGGAAACTGCTGATAACTTTCATTCCCGTACCCAAGGTCTCCTTAATTGCTATAATTGCTGACATGGTTGGACCGAGGCGATGTAAGATTAGGTAGGTAAGTTGCAGGTGTCGCCCAAGCATCTCATTACCAGAAAGTTTGGCGACAATTTCACATAATCAGGAAAAGACCCGACTGCTATTCCGGCAACGCTTCCATGGTATTATGGTATATGGCCTCGACACAAATGCGTTTCGAATGCCTCAAGACGTACGTTGAGGAGGCGCCCTTGCCAGTCGCGTAACTCTACACTCGACAGAGCCAGGCATCTCTCGACCCGGCGGAGGGCGCACCACTTCCGGAACGCGCCGGAACCTCCCCCACCGAGCGGACATTCCAGCTCCGGCCTTCCGCGAACATCTCTGACGCGCCTACTGACTCAGGGCGTCACCACGCACCCCGTGCTGCCACCTACGCAGCCGTCTCGACGTATTTCGTGCGCTGATTGGCCATCACTGAGCCAATGGGCGGGGCCGGGGGCGGGGCAAGTGACGTCAGAGGCGCGGCCGCGCGGCGCGCTCGGCTGGCCAGTCAGTGCTGACGCGGCGTGGTGTCATGGCGTCACTGTCGGCGATGCTGCCTTACGAGTCCGCCGGTATCTACGAGCAGCCCAAGCAGAAGTTCACGTTCAAAGTGCCACGCGTGGTTTCGGACCAGAAGGCCAAGTTCGAGCAGGATGACTGGTTTAAGAAGGTGACGCGCGCCTCCGAGGTGAGTCTCGAGCCGAGAAGTGTCGGCGCGTACTGTTCTGGTGACCTCCTTGTCACTGACTCATGCCGAAGGAGGTGTTTCCGTATGTGTATCCATCCCCCGCCTGGTGATGAGCAATCACGGAGCACTATGCATTCAGCAGGAACATGTGTCGAGCCGTGTTCTGATTTTTTGGGCTGTCTTTGCCTCCATCTCCGTCTCTAAACGACCCTAGAGATCGTGACGCAAAATCACGATCATAATAATAATTATCTGTCCCCACTTGGAACCAGACATGTAGTCCGTCCGTCAGGCTCTGCACAGCACGTGTCGTGCTATGAAAACAACAGTTTTCACTGTCATAGTTGAGCGAATATTGTCCATAACTTTGCAACAGACTTACTGAAAGAATGAAAATGCTTTTATGGCAGTGGTCACATAAATACAATATCTGTTTAGTTTCCTGCAACGGGATAGGTGTAGTGCTGTTCACTGTTCCATAATACAATCCTTCCTCCATCGGTTCGTGTCACGTTTTCGTTCCATGTATCAATGCAGTCGCAGTATAGCTTCAATTTAAGCACGTTGATTAAATTTTCTCAGAAATAGTGGCAACTCTCAGGAGAATGCCTTTCTTTCTAGTTTGGGTGAGTTCCACACCTTGAGGAGAAAGGTGGTCAAGTTCGGAAAGAAACATGTTTTGTGCCATGTTGCGTATAGATTTAACCATTTTCTACTCTCAGCCCTAACAACTTATCTTTCAAAATTACCCGTCTGCCACTCTCCCCCAACCCTGTTAATTCTCTGCAAGTATGCATGAGCCGGGCGAATATTATGCTTGAAAAATCCTCCTCCCAAGGGCAGGAAAGAACGTGTTAAAATGATCTACCGTTTACATGATCCACATTGTGATACCAGCGACCGCAGATGGCCACGGAGAAGGCGCTCTGGGCGACGTGACTTAGACTGAGCGGGGGGGGGAGGGGGGGGGGGCGAGGGGAGCACGAGTGGATGCAGTCCTCCACAATTAGTACGATACTGATTAGCATTAGGCTTTTGGCGTTGTGTGGGACGAATGAACCCGAAACGCACAGCGTCGTTAAGCTATCAGCCAGTAATGTCGTGAAGTGATGGTTTCAATGTATCTAAACAGACCTTCCCCCCGGTGCTGAACTGGTCATTTCCTTCGCAGGAGGTAAATGCACAGTCATGAATTGACTAGGAAAATCCCGAAGACAAGGGTCTGTGATATCGGCGTTACCGGAAATTCTAGCTGCCGCCTGACTTAGAAGAATGCGTGATAACTCTGCCGCCCACATGAAATCCCAAATTTCAACAGTGGAGTAGCTTAACAGACGGTGTTTCAAGTCAAGCGTTCGAAGTGAACTGTCGCCTGACTTTGCCGACCACATGGAATTCGGAATTTGCGCTGTACCATTGGTCAGCGGAATGCCTAAACAGACGGCGCTAAAACAGTGCTCGGCGCTATTCGGCTTACAGGCGTCGCCGCGCAATGCAGAGTTCGATCTTCCAAAGCGTTAGTTGTTGCTGGCGCCCGCACGCCACCGATCGCGGTGGTCACACCCTCCACAGGTCCCCATCATGTTGTCGGTTCGTCGCCAGCACTGTACGGCCATCTGCGCAGCGCCCTGTCCCTGCCCCTGAAGCCGCCGGCCGCCGGTCCCACCTCTGACGTCACCGTCATGTCAAACTGGTTCTGAGGCGTGCCCAGCGCCGCCACTCTTTTCCACCGTCATGTTTTCCTTGTATTAGTGGGGCGGACATTCCGGGAATCGGCCGGCCCTGCTGTCATCAGCCGGTGTCTGTGTGTGCCCGGCCGCGGCCTTGCCGGTCCCAGAACACCGCAGACCTGGCACGGGCGCCCCTGCATCAGCCGGTGTCGTGTGTGCCCGGCCGCGGCCTTGCCGGTCCCAGACACCGCAGACCTGGCACGGGCGCCCCTGCATCAGCCGGTGTCTGTGTGCCCGGCCGCGGCCTTGCCGGTCCCAGAACACCGCAGACCTGGCACGGGCCCCCTGCATCAGCCGGTGTCTGTGTGCCCGGCCGCGGCCTTGCCGGTCCCAGAACACCGCAGACCTGGCACGAGCCCCGCTGCATCAGCCGGTGACTGTGTGTGCCCGGCCGCGGCCTTGCCGGTCCCAGAACACCGCAGACCTGGCACGAGCACCCGCTGCATCAGCCGGTGACTGTGTGTGCCCGGCCGCGGCCTTGCCGGTCCCAGAACACCGCGGACCTGGCACGGGCACCTACTGCAAACCCGACCTGGCCGCTGCCCGTCATGACGGTCCAAGCCGCCAGCCGCCCCACCACAGATTATCTGGGCCTCAGGCCCTCAATAGCAGGCACTTGTCTAGATCACCAATGGCTGGTGTACAGTCACCGCGTGGGACGGCCAGCGTGGTGGTCCGCGTGGTGCGCTTGCCTGTGGTTCTTGTCAGGACTTCCTAAAACATGTCTTGTTAAAAGTCAAGGCTTATGGCATTCTGGTTTCTATGCCCCGCACTGGTAGCGGTCCCTGGTCCGACGGTCCCGCGGACTCGTGCTTCACGCCACCACGCGCCGCGGCCGGCCCCGAGCGCCGGCTCTGCCGTCGGCCCGGCCCTGATCTGTCCTGAAGCCATCCATCATCGTCAGCGGGACTGGCCTGGGCCCGAAAGAGGGGACCGTATTTCAAGGCGATCTGCAAGTCAAACAGCTCGACGGCTGGTCTATCTTCGGAGCAATGTGTCTTTTCAATGCGCCTCGTGCACTTCAGCGTGACAGACGCATTTTTTGTTCGTTTGCATGGCACAAGAATGTATAAGGTGGTCGACGTTGAGCTGTGGACAACGCACCTGACTCTCTGCGGTGAAGCGATGCTATCTGCGTCACGTTTCTGAGCTCGCTCGGTAAAGGAAATGTGCTGTCGTTGGCCACGAGTGTCGTAGGTAATGTCCGTGTCGTGATATTTTTATGAACGTGGTGGGGCGCAAGTCTAGTCGATTATCATGAATAATTACACAGCATTATTTTAAAATTTCTAGTTACATCCTTGCACCGCATTGTTCTGCCATGGAAATCCTGAACAGTGTTGGCACAAAAGCTCTGTGCGCTGTTAAAGAGAACTTCACTTGCTGTGCGTACAACTGCAGGGCAAACCCATTGCGTTGTTCACTAATTGTTTGAGGTTACTGCCTCTCGCAATAATTCAGCTTTGTTGGATCTAGCACGTGTCTTTGGAAGGCAGCGACGAGCACCCGCAGAACCCTCACGTCAGCGATCGACGAACACCCGCAGAATCCTCACGTCACCAATTGACGAACACCCGCAGAGCCCTCACGTCACCAATTGACGAACACCCGCAGAACTCTCACGTCAGCGATCGACGGACGCCCGCAGAACCCTCATGTCACTAATCGATGAGCGCCACGCTTCCGCAGAATTACCTTGTGTTCAGGCGAAGAACACGCATTCATGTGTCGCAAGCATCCGCCGCTGATCTCGCTCGAACGTGAGTTGTGTGACCCGGCGCCGCCGGTGCTGACCTGGCCGCGTGCCCCCAGGGCCGCTACACGGGTCACCGCGAGCGGCCGATGGAGGAGCGCCGCGCCAAGTTCCAGAGCGACCTGAAGACCAACGGCAGGACCGAACTGGTGAGCATGCTGGACCGCCGGTGAACCGCTGATGGCTCTCCTGATCCACGACAGGTCGGCGGGCGCTCATAGTTGAGGAGGCGGTGGAGAGACCCACCCGGCTCTGATTTCTAGAACTGGACGGAAAAACCCGCGCAATTTTGACTCACGCCGAAGACCGCCGTGCGTGTCGCGAATGGCTTAGTTTCAACGACGCCTGCTGATTATCAGGATGATTTGAGTAGAAGTAAGCTTGATAGGCTTTCGGGTCACGTTCTTACGCGGTACGATTTAGAACTGCGTGTTGTAGCATGACTGCGCGAAATCGTATGAAAACAGGCCCTGGCCAAGGCCCACCACCTCGCGTGGCGGGCATTACGGTGGCACGAGGCAGGGCTTGTCATGACACACTGGGAAGTCACGGACCTGACCGGTTACTTACACTAGATGTCCGAAAATGGCCTCGTCCCCATATGGAGAGGGCTGCGGAGTGCACGTTTAGTGCGCGGTCAAAAGGCCACCGAACTGTCACCTATGTACCTGGCCTAGCTGCGTAGAAAGATTGCCAACAACGGAAGAACAACATATGTCGAGCGGAGGCCGTCTGCAGCATCAACAACTGCTGCTCAGGGACGCGGCGCGCTGAGACTGGCCGCACGGTCCGACCGGCGGGCTCTGACCCAGCCGACCCCCCCCCCCCCGCTCCCCCAGGCGCTGACCCAGAACGGGCTGAACCTGATCCTGGAGTTCGACATATCACCGAACGGCTACACGGCCCGGGCGCCGGACGTGGACTTCGCCAAGGAGCCCGGCATGGTGAGTGTCGCCGGGTCGTCGGCGTGCGGTGCGCCCGACCGAACACGCCGGGGACTGCTCCCGCTGGCGCCGGCGTACAGCGATCGCGCCTGACAAACAGGTTTTCTGCTTTTGTTTCTCCTGGGACGATAAGTGAAATGAGTTTTCTAATTAGGAGTTTGGAGTGCCCGCAAATCCAGAATGACTGAGCATGTCAGTGTTACTCTTTGTGTTTAGAAGCGACGCCTTGGGTCAGCCGCGGCGGACACCGCCAAAGCCGAGAACACCGCTGCCACGGACTCACTTTTTATGCGGTCCATGCCGTGGCCGAACATTTGCAGAGTTATGATCGGCTTGAGAGAAGTCTTCTGAAAGAGGAAACATTGCCACATAAACCAAGGAAGCTTGCGGCAGCTTCTCGATGTACATAACAAAAGAGCTGATTGCAGTAGGCGGAATCGTTTCAGTCTTGTTTGGCGTTTTAGCTGTAGAAGAAAGGAGCGCTACGGGCCAGTCCAATGCTTTCCTCGTATCAGCACCACCGTCCTTCCCCTGCATGAGCAGCCCTTTACTCCTGGTATCGATTGCTCGTACATTCCTGCCGGCAGGGGCGGAGCCACCGGCGAGGCGGACGGAATGACTTCGCCCATCCAAATTATCTCATCATGGGGCATAAAGATAAACTTAATGAAAATTGCCGTATGAATAGAATTGACCTAAAACGTTCACAGCCCTCAACTCTGAATCGGTAGCTGGTTACCGCTGCCGCGCCGGCCGGCGCATCCGGTACAGAGTAAATCCGTGCCGTTTTGGGACGGTAAGCAAGCTGAGACGCGGTCTGCACGCGATCCCGCGACCCGCCGGGGCCAGCTTGGCCGCTGGGCGCGCCTGCTGAGCACTGTGCGCGTGCCGCCGGGCCAGCGCTGCCGATCCCCCCCCCCCCCCCCCCCCCACTCTGTCCGTCGGAGTCGATGGTTTTCCTATTCTCGCCGATCGGACGGTTGCGCCTAGAGGCCAGAGAGACACTGCGTGGGTCTGAGGAGGGGGTCTTGACGGCGGCGCCTGGCAAACACAGCTTCGTTTTCTGTTTGCAATGTGGTGGAAGCAGACGGCTCCATGACCAATGCGCACGCCCTTTGAACTAGTAATTAAGTAGGCGTCGTTGGCAGCTGATTATGGAGATTAATTGCCATGACTGCTGGGTTATTTTGCGACATGAGAAGCAGTTTTCTTTCCGAAACACCTGCAAAGATGTACTTAGCAACGCTCAGCTCTCTTTTGGCATAAAATGGCGGCACAAGTTCCGTAATGCAATTATGAAACCCGGTGGCGTCGCATTTGGCTGAAAACGAACGCATCGCATGTTGGAAGATGTGACCTATTTGGTTTCCCATGACAACGTGATGTCCTTGACAAGGCTTTGTACCTGTACATGGCTCCGTCAACTGTTAAAATACCGACCCTCCTGCCATAAGGCACATGGTGATCAGATCCGGGATACTGTAACTATCATGTATGTGTGTGTGTGTGTGCGTGTGTCTGTCTGTGAATGTATGTGTTGTATCTGTGTATCTGTCTGTAATGTATCTGTCGGTGTGTCTGTATGTGAATGTATGTGTTAAGCCCGGCTTAAGACCTACGTGACCCGGTCGTGAGCCCCTGCCGGCCTCACGCCTGCACCAAGTGGTCACGGCACCTGCCACACGACGATTGCCGGCGCGCCCGTCGCCAGCCGCACCGGTCTTCCAACAGATCTTATCTTTCACGCCGCGCTATTTGGACAACATTATTCCAGAGGTCTTGTCATAAAGAATAATCTTGGCTGGCTGCGCTATTTGCACATGATTCATCGAGATTGCCTTTCATCAATTGGAGGAAAGAAATATATAGTCTTACAATGAGAAATAGTCCTCGAATATTATTTCCCGTCATATATTTAGGTGCAAGAGAATCTTGCTCGTTGGGAGCCTTAAAATGATCGTCTTCATCATCCTGTCCTGCGGATTCGTTTTGCAGCTTGTTTGATAGCGAGTTTAAATTGAAAAAGAGAAATGCGCCGGGGGGGGGGTACTTTGTTCAAGCATTTGTTCCGGTCAGTTGTTTGTTGGAAGACCAGACCAACCTTAAAATCTGATATGTCCCAGTGTTTACCGCTATTTCCTTTTTAATATAAAGATTTCGCGACCCCCCCCCCCCCCCCCGCCTCCACCCCTTTTTCGAGACCGACGCCCATAGGTTGAACGCTCGCTAGCGCTCGTGACTCGTGCACAGTTCTGGGGAAACAATCACAGCCCATATGGCGATTTAATTTTTACGGCGACAGCACGCTCTTTATAGCAGTTGTTCATTCGCACCCATGCAGTTGAACAACTGCGAACACACGTGCATAACTTTGTGTAGCGACTTGCAATATGTTTCTGTGTTTCGGTGCATGAACAACCCATTAAAGTCACCACCGGACGCATTCTTCGCGTGTGCCATATTACCACGCCGGCGGGAAATCTGACGGCGGCGTAGGAACCGGGCTCTTGCGCCCTCCCCCGCCGGCGACATGGGCCAGGGGTTTCAACTTGGGTGCATCCAATATTTCCCACCCATGCCGGAGAAAAAATCACTATTAGCTGTATGACGTTGTAGGCAAAACAGCCAAATTCGTTTTGGTCCCCAACTACGGCTGGTTCCTACATTCCCCGCGGCCTGGTCACGGAAGAAATTCGTTTTGGTCGCCAACTACAGCGAGTTCCTACAGCCCCCGCGGCCTGGCCACGGAAGAAATTCGTTTTGGTCGCCAACTACGGCGAGTTCCTACAGTCCCCGCGGCCTGGTCACGGAAGAAAAGGTGCGCTCGGCCGGCAGGTTTATCCCTGAAAATTATGTTGGAAGTTTTCAGAATGGCGTTCTGCACAGCCAACACAAAAAATTATCCCAGATGATTTATCGCACCCAGGGAGAATCCCGGATGATT